TATTGTATGACGCCCGAGAAGTGAGGCGGCGCCTCCGGGAGCTGACCCGCGAGGTAGAGGCCCTGTCCCACTGCTACCCGCTGATCTCCAAGTCCAGCAATGCCGAGGGGACGGGCAAGGACTGGGTATACCGTTCCCTGGCAGAGAGGTGACCGGGAGACAAATAAAAGGAAGAGAGGAGGTGGTTTGTGATGGTGTGGTGGGGAGGGGGGTGCCAGGGCCCCCACGGCACCCAAAAGCCCTGGTCGCTAAGACAACGCTCTCCCTGGCAACAGGGCCTAGAGAGCCCTAAGGACCCTCATCCACCTCTTGGCTGCCCTGGGCCCTGCCCACAGCTCTTTTCCTTCCAACGTTCCCACCTGTAGCTCCCCTGTTTCCCTTGGTGCCCAGAGCAGGTCCCCCAAATCCCTCCCCAGATCCTCAGGCAGACCTGCACTAGAGGGGGACCCCATCCCCATGGCCCTAGCCCTCGAGCGGCCTGGTTTCCGCCAGAGGTAGGCTGCAGCCACAGGGCACGGTGTGGTTGCCTCTTAAGCCCTGGTTTCTTGGAGGGTGGCCGGCCGACCGAGAGATCCAGGCCTTCAGAATTTCCCGGCCGGGACCTGAGGTTCTCGTACCCCAGAGCAGGCTCAGAGCAGAGGATGAAATCCTGGGGACATTCTCTGTGACTTCGCTCCTCTGATTAGCACCTGCCTGTCACAATGAGGAGAGCGAGGCTCAGAGAGGATAAGGGACTTATTCGCGGTCACACAGACACCAGGGATCAACCTCGCGTCCCCTGAGGCTCCGGGCACTGCTCCCGCGGGTAGATTTCACGGCCACCGAGTCAGCCTGGCCCACCAGAATCTCCCACCTTCCTCAGCTTGCCGTGTGAACTCATCAGAATATTCCATCCACAGAGAGCAGGGAAACCCGGGCCCTACCCCACTCCTAGACAGTTGGGGTCACAGGCATGCACCCACGTACACGTGCACAGGCACGACCTTAGGGAAGGGAAGCCACGTGAGGGCAGGCGCCCAGGGGGAAGCAGCTTGGACCTCACCTTCCGGAGCAGGTGGAGTCCTGGAAGGCCCTTTGTGAATCAGCCTGCTTTAAGCTGATTCCCTTCAGTGAGCATGTCCCTACTAGGCGTTTGGAGGTTGGAGGGGAAACGCCCTGCCCGTCGGTTCTTCCTTTATTTTTGCTGAGTTGTTCCTCGAGCCAACAAAAGACTAGAGGTCCCCGGGGCACCACTTGCACGGACCCCCAGCGACGAACCTGGTTTAAAAGAAGACTCCTTCTGGCACATCGACAATTACATCTGTGCTGTGCTTTGTGTATTTCATGAGTTTTTTTTCTTAAGGTGGGAGCCAAGAGTGTTTCAACTTGGAGGGATGGGCCAGTGGGAGGGCAGTTGGTTAGGAAGGGGAGAGACCACGGTTGGCGGTGGTCCCTGGCCGAGCGACCCCGGCAAGGCGGTGGTCAGTCTTGCTCTGAAGCGAAGCGGTCGCTGGGTTCAGTGACCACCACGCCTATGGCTGCAGCCACTGGCAGGACAGGGAGCGAAAACTGCAACCCTAGAGGGGACTCTCGCTGTCACCTTAGCTGCTGGCCCCAAGTGGGCGCGGGTGGAGAGTTCCATCAGGCTACTAAGCTGCCCTAAGGTCTCGAAAGAACAATGCACTGGAGGAAATCCTTTCTGGCTGATTCGGTCCCTATGAAGACTGTCTTGTGCCCACAGCTACCATATTTTGCAAATCCGCAATCAGGTGTTGACTTAAGCAAAGCCCTATGGAGACAGAGAGACAAAGGGAGCTCTGGGGTATCTGGGGACTGGACTCCCATCAGGTCGCAGCCAAGGTCAGAGACAGCCATGTAAAGAGCAAGCCAAGTGGATAAAGGAGCTGCCAGACGCTCATTGTGACTCCCCTGCCATGTGCCTCATTGTGACCCAACAGCCTCACCAGCTGGTAGGTGTCCCCAGGTCCTGGCATGAGCACAGTGTGGTCGGGGCGGGTGGGGGGGGGGGGCGCGGTGGCCCAGGTGGCCCTAGGACCCCCCCACCATGGAAAACCAGCTCTATTATGACAGCCTGGGGTCCTGCAGTCTATACCAAGAAGCTCCCCAGGGTGCCAACGACTTACTGCTCCTGCTGCTGGGTCTCGTCATTCTTGTCAACATTGGGATCAACGTGGTAACTGCGGTCAGTGACGGCATGGCCGTGGGCCACCCCGTCCCCCCGGGGTGGAGAGGGCTGGGGGCGGGCGTGGTCTTCACTCCCACCCCACCGTACCCCCAGATGTGGCATGGACTCCAGAATGCCTTAGACAAGATGATACATTGGATTCATCTGAAAAGTGAGTATGGCAGCAAGAGAGGTAGGGGACACCCCTCCCCCCGATGCCACCGTCACCACCCTAGAAACCCAGGCCGCACTGTTCCCAACCCCGAGCTCTTCTGACATTCACCCTGTCCTCACGGACTCTCGTCACCCCCAGATGAAATCTTCCAGGCTTCCGAAGTTTCCCCCAAAGACGCCCCGGCCAAGACCCAAGACGTTCACATCCACTGTGCCCTGGACCCTGTAGAAGTGAAGATGGCCCGGCCCACCTGCCATCGCTCTTCCTCCTACCGCTGTCTCCGCAGCCCCCGCTGCAGCTGTCGCCGCCACCGCCGCTGCAGCCACCGCCGTGGCCGGCACCCCGGCCACCACCGCCCCTGCAGCCACCAGTGGGGACTGAGGAACCATAGGCATTTCCCCCCCAACCGCTCCGTCTTCCACAGTCACTGTCACAGCCCCAAGATGTCACAGCTGCGGCCAGTGCCCTCCTTTGATGAGGACAACCTAGACTCCTGCCTGGAGGAGGATGACCTATCCTTCCCGCACCCCAAGTACCCATGGCGGGGCTGGGGAGGGCTCTACCAGCCGGTGGGCCTGCCCTCCAACTTGGGGCCGTGGGGCCGCCAGGGTGGGATCCTGGCCAGCCTGCCACCACCTTCTCTGTACCTGTCACCTGAGCCGCGCCGCATGCCCAAGCGCGTGGAGGCCAAGTCGGAGCTGAGGCTGCAGTCCTACGGGCCCCACTGCCCCCAGTCCCGAATCTGGGGCAATCTGGAGGCTGAGCAGCGGACCCTGTCTCCACCACCCGTCCGCCGGCTGCCCCCCGGCCCCTCCTGGGTCCCCGCGGGACACAGCCCTTACCCCTCAGGGGCCCAGCTACTCCATGACTCCCGGGATCAGCGGTGGCGTGGTCTGGAGGGCTCCGGACCCCCCTGTGCCCTGGTGCCCTGGGGGTCCCGGCCCGAGGCCCGGGAGCCCTGCTCCCCCCAGGCCCACCGGCAGAGCCTCCCTGGCCACGCTCACAGCCAGTCCAACCGCAGCCCCCACCCATCCACGGGGCACTTGGGCTACGGCGCCCGGGACCCCCACGAGGTTCGGCGCCGGACGGGCGAATGCACCGAGGCAACGCCCGCCCGGCACCCTCTGACCACCGCATCCCTCACCGTGCTGGACGAGACCTCCCACCGACGGGCCCCGGCTCCCGGCTCAGCCCTGCTGCCCCGCTCCTCCCAGCCCCTGCCCGAAGTCCAGGCTCCGGAGCCGCCCCCAGCCCAGCCCACCTTCAGGCCACTCAGCCGGACCCCGGGGGCCAATGGCAGCTACCAGGTATACGACAGCCTGGAGCTGAAGCGGCAGGTCCAGGAGAGCAGAGCGCGGGCCAGCTCCCTGCCGCCCCCCTGCACCTCGGCCTCCAGGCCCTCCCTGCACAGGAGCCCGAACGGGAAACTCCACTGACCGGCGGGGAACACGGGCGGTGGGGGG